GGCACATGTCCATTTCCCACGGACACGTCAGCCTAACCCGACCACAACGATAGAGAAGTAGAAATACGAGAATAAAAGATAATAAATAAGCGGAAGACTTTAATTAAGACTCAACACTACCCAGAATTTGGTTGTCACATGTACAAACCTCTAAATACAGAATTCGAATAAAAATATACAAGTCTCAGAGTATAGTTCTCGAATAGAACAAAACTGAAAGTAAAGATAACTCAAGGGCACGTCTGGAATGAACCGCTACCTCTCGAGTATGTCCCCAAGCTCAATCTGCTAAAGAAACTACTAAGCCGAATCTGTTTTGTCACACCCCAAATCCGGATGTGATGGCACGTGTCCATTTCCCACCGGACACGTCAGCCTAACCCAACCACAACGATAGAGAAGTAGAAATACGAGAATAAAAGATAATAAATAAGCGGAAGACTTTAATTAAGACTCAACACTACCCAGAATTTGGTTGTCACATGTACAAACCTCTAAATACAGAATTCGAATAAAAATATACAAGTCTCAGAGTATAGTTCTCGAATAGAACAAAACTGAAAGTAAAGATAACTCAAGGGCACGTCTGGAATGAACCGCTACCTCTCGAGTATGTCCCCAAGCTCAATCTGCTAAAGAAACTACTAAGCCGAATCTGAGAGAGAGCTGTCAACCTACACAATTGTGTAGAAGCAAGGGTGAGTACCGAAAACGTACCTGTTAACAACAGCGGAAGTTTGTAGAGCAATCACCATGAAGAGATAATTGCCCAAGTCAAGTGATTCACTAGAAAACAAAGTTGGTATCCACAAACTATAAATGTCTTTTTGTATGTCAATATGAAAAAACCTGAGACTTTTTTTCATAAATGATCAATTTATGAAGTTGACTTTAAAAGGAGAATATGACAGATAACCAGTTTAGTGGCAAAAAAGTCAGCAAGTAGCTTGCATCATATGGTTGAATTCTATATATATATATATATATATAAAATAGAAGAATCAGTGGATGACCAGAATGTTTAACAAGGCATTGCTGATGGAACTTTGAATTTTTTTTGCCTTCTATATAGTTTCTTACATGTATTTGTTTGATTGGAAAAAGATCAATTTGTTTCCAAGAAGAACACATTAGTCCATTTGAAATTCATCATAGGAAGCTACATCAATAATATTAAATGGCAATTTACTCCTTTCATTTCAAATTTTGGTCCATGTTTGAAAAATGGCAACACACCTAAAGCTCTATTCATTGTGAATCAAAGTACTACTTACACAGTTACACTATCAAGGATAGAATTGGAATCGTCACCTAACACGTTAACTAGGTTTATTAGGACATCTGTAACTAATTTCTATGCTAAACCACATAACGTCTAGAAAAACTAAAGCAACGTTATTCCCATAAAAATGAGAATTAGTTTCACATATGAACATTTAACTTAATTCACAAAACAGTAAAGTCAGAAAACCAACTTTTTTTATCAGATTAAAGTAACTAAACTTTATCCATTATTACAGAAAATGGAAATTGACAACATTAAACACAAATCACAACAGAAAATGAAACCCTTTACAGTAAATTCAACATATAATTGGCAATATTTTCTAAAAATGTTGTTTCTGTCTCAGTCAATTTTCCTATTTCTTGAAATTTCCTATGCACATGCATGATTTACTATCCATCTATAGTTCTTTATCTATTTATAGTCACTGAGATATTTAATGGGAATAGGTCCATAGTATCATGAATGCAAAAGCATTACCTCACATAATGCCATAGAGAAAATGAGAAATGTTTAATATAATAGTAATTTGGTATTTTGATTTCCTTTTCATACGTAAATAAATAGCCTGTAACATTATAGTTAGTGCACTTGAATTCTACTAGCAAAAAAGGAAAAATGGTACGAAAATTGTTTAGGTCATTTTCAGGACAAGTAGTTGTAGAAGAAAGCAGAAGGGTAGTTGACTAGCTTCTCACCTATTTTCCTAATCACAAAGACAGTTATATTGTAAGTAACTTCACAAATTATCACCTTGAACAACTTCAATTTACCTGCAAACCACTTGTTCTATGTTTTATCATTAATATTAATTACTGCTCCTCACACAAGAAATCAAGAATCAACATGGAAACCACCTCAAAAATCACTCAGAAATGGATGTTATGTGCATTCGGGAGCTTCATTAGCTGCTTCATTTTATTGCTATACTTAAAGCACAACAATGAGGCAGTAAATTTCAGGGCTCTGCGACATGCCATGTTCAATATGGCCTCGTCTCTAGACGATAGATTTTCCCCTCATGGAAATTTAGAAATCTCGAAACCAGCAAGAAGAAGAGAAGATGAAGGGGATATAATACAGAAAAACAGTAGGAATAAGTGCAACATATTTGAGGGAAGATGGATTTATCAATCAACGGAAAGCCCATATTATGAAGCATCACAATGTCCGTTCCTGAGTGAACAAGTGAGCTGCCAGAAGAATGGAAGGCCTGATTTTGACTATGAAAATTGGTCTTGGGAAGCTCATGATTGTGTGATCCCACGGTAGGAAAATTGTTTATTCATTTTCTTGTTTCACACTTTTCTTTATTTTGGATTTAATTGACAGTGTGAAGGATTTTGCATGAACAGCATATAGAAAGTTAAACTCTTTCTCTTTTGTTATGAGCAAATTTCAGCTTCAATGGCAGATATATGTTGAGGAGGCTTAGAGGCAAGAGGGTCATCATAGTTGGAGATTCACTAAACAGGAACCAATGGGAATCTCTCGCGTGTCTTCTTTATTCTACAATTCCTCCTTCAAGAACCCATCTTGATCTTAGCAGTGGCTACTATAAAGTCTTCAAAGCTAAGGTAAATCAACTTAGGGACTTACTTTTTCCAATGCAAGTACCCTCACAGGCACCGGCGCCCCTGATGCAATAATGCATGGTAAAACAGCACTGGTGCAATAATGCATAGTCACATGCACACGTCTGCCTCACCCCTTGAATACCATGAATTTTATTTTTGTGCACTTTCCGACATGTCTGATGTTATCATACATGTGGTTTGAAATCACACTTTGTTTTGAACGTTCATACTCATATAAAGTCAATTTTTGGCTTTTCTAGGACTACAATGTTACTGTAGAGTTCTACTGGAACCCGTTTCTTGTCCAGTTCGACTCAATAAATGCTCCTAAAACTTTAAGGCTGGAGAAACTGGATTTGTCATCTCAGCATTGGCTGGGAGCTGACATTATGGTATTCAACACAGGACATTGGTGGGTGCATCGTGGGAAGTTCAAGGCGTAAGTTCACTAATGAACTTTCTTAAAAGTTTATGAATATAACATCTCTACGCTGATAAAGAATTTTCAAACTATCAGATGAATATATGCACTGTCTGTAAAAAGTGAGATTAGTAAACTAACTGAAAAAATAAGACATGTTACTTGGTGCAACATGTTAAAATAAATAAACTTTGCATGCAGGTGGGACTTATTCGAGTACAAGGGACAATTAGTTGATGAGCTGAAGCTAGAATCAGCATTTGAGGTGGCAATGAGAACCTGGGCAAATTGGATAGATCAGAATGTTAACTTGACAAAAACAACAGTTTTCTTCAGAAGCATTTCCCCAGAACACAAAGGTCAAAACGGATGCTACAATAAAACACAACCAATCACAGATATGTCCTATGTAACACATTTTTCCGAGTCCCTGACGAAGATTGTTGATAGAACATTGTCAAAAATGAGAGTCCCTGTAAGATACTTAAACATCACTAAGCTCTCACAGCACCGAGTCGATGCACATCCATCAGCCTATGCCAAAAAGAAAGGACAAGAACTGATAAAGAGGAAACTAAAGCCACCACAGAGTATTTCTGATTGCAGCCATTGGTGCCTGCCTGGAATGCCCGATACATGGAATAGGTTACTATATGCATCTCTGCTTTTGGATCACCCCATTGATTCCCCTAGTCTATCACATTTGGTCTCTTGAAATCAGAGATTTACCATCAGTAGGCTATATTAGTTGTTGTATTAGTGTGGATAGTGGTGGCAATTTCAACCCATATTTTCTTAACCCGCCCGTCATAAACCCATTTGGGTTAACCCATTTTCAACCCGCAATATAATGGGTCAAATGTGATTTCATATTTCTATTGGATTCCTCCTGCTAGCCTAAGTGAGATATCTACTGAGGGAACTTTTGAACTTTCATATGAGTGTCTAAATGTGTATGTTGATTGTTTCCTTTCTTTTCACATTGACCTCACAAAGCATTTATGGAGGACAAATATTTTTACTTGTATGTTGTTCCAATTAATTCCATAACATTTTACATAGTGCACATTTTTTTCTGAAAACATCTTCTGATGATATTAAGAATACTCTCTTCGTTTTAATTTGTTTGTCTTACTATTTATTTTAGTCCATTCCAGAAAGAATGTCAGTTTCCTTTTTTTTAGCAACTCTTTAATTTCAACTTTTTCACATGACATGTTTAAGACCACAAAATTGATGGATATTTGGTATATTCTACACATCTTTAGTTTAAGACCACAAGATTCAAAAGTCTTCTTTACTTTCTTAAACCCATGTCAAGTCAAAACCAAATTGAAATGGAAGGAGTGGTATTATAAAAGTGTTTCTTCTTTGGATCCATTAGTTATACATGTGCGGTGAAATTACTTGATTTCCGATAATGATTTCAGGATTAACCAAATTCATGGAAATCAATTCTTACAAACAACTCCTTTAGTTAGGTTATATTTGGAATGCTCAAGTGAATACCACATGAACTATTGTAAAAGTTGCACTTTACAGGGCGACACAATACCCTCCAGCAATTAAGCAGTTATTACTACTGATGTACGCGCACAAACATTAAATATAAAATGCAAAACAAATTGAGACAGATAGTAGAAGAACTACAGTACGTTGGCATACCAAATACCAATTAATGACATAGAATAAGTGCATTCAAGATAGGCTTTAACACTGTAAAAAGTTTCCATATATATATATTAATTTATGAAGATTGGCTACAAGATGGCCATACCTCATATATGGGTTGGTTCTTCAAGGTACCACTACGTATTATTTTCTGGCTAGCTCTACTAGAGGAACGGATTGCTGATACTTTATGCAATTTTATAAGAGAATAATGCATAATAATATCACTCTCTAGGACGCCATGGATTGATTGGAAAAGCAATAATACTATTTACAGTATCATCAGAACTATAAAATCTCCCACTCAGATTCAGGATGATCATTAGCAGACAACATTTTTGTGTTTGAATTCATGGCAAGAACAGGCATCACCTTGTCCTCAGCCTCTAGGTTGAATTGTTGATCACCATATAGTGCTCCAAGTTGTTCATACTCTTTCCTTGTCAACCTCTTTTTCGTGGAGAAAGCTTCCCGAAGCTTATTCTGAGAAAATATTGACAGAAACGGTCAACAAAGATCTAAAAGATGCATTTAAGCAAAGAACCAGAGCCCCGCTCTGCTTCTCCTAAAAAGCGAACTAAAGGAATAAATACAGGAAAGAAATATATAAGAGAGAGATAGAGGACCAACCTTATAGGACTTCTTTTTGACAGGACCATGTGGAACATGAATCCTGTCCTCTTCAACCAGGACACATGTTTCATCCAACTGGGATTCATCAAATTTCTCAACAATTTCCAAATCTGACTCAGTGCTGTCATACTTGGACATATCAGAAGACAAATTATCTGACTTTTCTGTAAGAAAGAACAATGGTGTCATAGAGATAGAATTGAGAAAATTATAATCCAAGAGACAATGAAGTGATCTGAAAGGCAGGCACATGGTTTGTTTCACAAACATCCCTTTGATTCAATTTATCTCAAGTGAATAGGATAGGAGAAGGAAGACAACCTAAAGATCTACTAATTTTTCCTTGAACGAGCGAGTAACGTGGACGTGGAGTACATTTATTTGCTGGGATGGAGGAAGAGTGATGCAGATACTGTAGTTTTCTCTAAATTCCCAAGAAACAAAAGGTGAAAGTGCAACTGTAGAACCTTATATTGACTAATAAAACATAAATGATACATAGACATACTGACTCCCAGCACTCTGGCGCACACATGAGTATCTGACCTCCTGCAGGTTCTTACGAATATGCACTGCAGAGGTATAATCAGTGTGAGCCTTACTGGATGAACCAACTTTTGATGGCTTTAACTCTTACAGTTGTGCCAATTTAGTACTATTAGACATTTCATCCAATATAACACAACATAAGGTCCACCGTGACTCATAGTTGCGATCCACTGTATATTTTCTGCTATAATAACATAATTTTGGGTAAGTAATTATAACATCTGACGATTTACCATTTGGTATATAGTTTTCCTAGAAGTAACACAAAGCAGTCAGTCTTGAATCAGTGTTACACTTACACAACAAAATGGGAACAGAGAGAGAAGAGAGATCTATCAGTGTTACACAGCAAAATGGTAACAGAGAGAGAAGAGAGATCTTTCTCCAGTTTTAGTTATTAGAGTAGCTAGAATCAGTCAGTACCTTCATGGGACTCATTGATCTCCTCATTAGCTAAATTGTTCCGAACATTACTGCTAATTTTGTATCTTGTATTACATGCTAACTCCTTTGTACAAGTATCTGTTGCCAATATAGAAGTTATCACAGAGAGCAGATAAGAGAAGAAAACTGCAGACAGTATACCACAAGAGTTCGGTGAAAAAGCCACCAACTGAGATAGAGCTGGAACCTGTTTGTTTCTTCCTGACAGATTCAACAGACATCGTAACAGAAGCCTCAGAAGTAATTGAAGTATCAGCTGCAGACACATTAGTTTGTATAAAGTGATCGCGAACTTTACTTGCTGCTTCTCCAGAGTCAGATCCTTTAACTGAGGCCAGAGCTGAAGTCAGGGTCACATGATCAGATGCCATTTCAAAACCACCCCTAACCTCAGCACTTGAAGATAATTTTAGTGCATCCCCTGATGCAAGACAAATAGCATTAGGCTTCTTAGCTGGGTGGCTGTCTCTAACAATTTCTTTGATTCCCACATTTTGACGTTTATAGACTCCTCCACTTTTGCTCTTCCCTGAGATCTCAAGAAAAAATAATATTAGCAGATCTGTCTGACCAAAGACATTAAATAGTAGTTGGTGAATAATCAGCATTTGCATTTTGTACCCTTGATCACTTGAGTGTCATCATTTAATTTGTTACTAAAACGTCTGGCACTTCCTTTAAGATTTGCTTTCAACTTCTTGTCAATTTCATAGTGAGCATAAGGGTTAATAGACAAGTCAGCAGCTGCGACTTTCACAGGATCAATATTACATTGAGGATGAACATCTTGCATCACCTCAGAACAGAATCTCTTGACATTTGTACCAACAGTGTTCACCTGATTCTCAACATATTTAACAGTGTCCTGTAAATGGTCACAATCTCAGTTATTCTGATTATAAACATTTGGTCGAAATTAGCAGGGTGGATAATAGGCAGTACAATTTCAGAACCTTTTAACATATCCAGAGACGTTATTGATCAAAATTGACAGACCACTGTTAATGATGCATGGTGATATGCTGTCATTTGTTTCAATACCATGATGAGGATGTATGTCATCCTTCCTGGCAATCATAAATTACTTACTCTGGGTGGACACAAATACAACTTTTCATATAGGAAAAGAGAGAATCCATTTAATGAAAGATAAGATTGTAATAGCAGTAATGCTACCTCAGAAAAGCACTTCTTTGCCAGTCGAGGTAGAGCTAGACGTACAAAGCTACTATGCATCAATGAGTATTAGTAAGAATGGTTTTTGATGGTATAGTCCATCAAGATGTCTGCATTTGTGCCTATCACCCTTGAGTAAGTTCCAACATGTAATATTTCCAAACTGTTACAGAAAGTGTAACAACATAGAGGAAGGTAAGGGCAATGAAAGTATCAATCAGTCTTTTTACACTCTTCCTCCAATCAAACTCCACATCTATCAGCGAAAAGGTGCAACCAACCAAGTCATTGCGTATCCAAGTCACTGATTACCCATTGTGTATCCTGGAGAAAAAGAAGACCCAAGGAATAACCTAAATAGAAACATGCAGGATGCAATCTACTTGGGACCATACCTAGAGATCTGGGGCTGAACACTGGATGCAGAATAGGATTAGTTGAGTAATAGGACGGATTTCAGCTATAAGCAAATTAACTTAAGGAAATACCAGTAACAAATAGCAATAATAAAATAGGGAGTAGGGAACTATATTCAAAAGAATGAAGTTCACCTGGTACATAGCCTCTTCCATCTCCAAACACATAGTTTCAAATTTTTGGTATATGTTTCCAACCCATGATATAGATTTCAAGTCCATTGGAGAATAGGTACTCAAGTTAGTTCCGCAAGATGTTATAGCTTCCCAGCTGCAAAAATTTCAGACAAGTCGTTGCATTGTTAAGATGGATTTTTTATGAACTGCACAGAATTATAAAATTCTCTTGGGACAAGTCAGAAACCAACTTCAATCTGTTTCAAAAACAATGAATTTGTTAATCTAACATGACTAATTAATGTTGACTCGAAGGCCCTCTTTCTTAACGAGACACCAAATGTTATGTCAGCCAGATTCCATCTGGAAATAGTGAGACAGTGAAGTGTTGTAGTTTTAAATGCTTCCACATTAATTAGATATTGTCATTCAAGTTATCAAAAATACAAATCTCGATAAATCGATTGTATGCATACCAATTTCCTCCAAACAAACATTATGGGTAAAGAGGATTGAGCTAAATTCAGACAGCCAAATATTAGATTAAATAGTAAAATAAGATATAATTTGATCTACCTCAAATATCCCAGTCAGACACTAGGTTCTAATGGGAGGGTTTACGTCTTTTATATTTTGCATGCTGAACAAGAGACTAAGCGAACTGTTCAAAGTGGAGTAACAATCGTTTTCCAAAACCCTGCTAGGGCTTCATGAAGTTGTGTAACCAAAGCATTTGCAAACTTATGCTCGAATTTCCTCACAGCCCTCTACTCTCGTAATTCTCACCTTAGTTCATGGATGCAAGACGGAGAAATTTTTTTAAGAGGATTAGGTCAAGGTGCACTGCAGTACTCCTACTCAATATACCAAGTCTTCTTGATATCAGGAGCAAACAAAATTTAAGGCACACAAAGAAGCTTTTCAACAGAGATATATAAATTTTAGTGTCAACCTTACTTGCTAATGATTTCATATTAAATGTGTGACAAGGCCTCACCATTTTTCCCTTAAAGACAGATTTTTATCAGCTCTTTCTTCCAAGGAAAATCACAACCTTTCTCTCCACTAATATTTCTCCACATGTTAAGTATGCAACACTTGAATTAGGTAAGAATTAGTAATAAGACCAGCCTAAAATTGATTGTTCAGCCACTCAAAATTAGAATACCAATGAGCCACCCCCACCTGAATCGCCAGGCAGAAAAAATCAAATTCCCGTGTGCTCAGCAGATTTACATACATCATGCATTTGAATCACCACACAAGTAGAAATTATTCTAATAAAAAAAATCAACTATAGCAGATAGTTTAAACAGCATAAGCCCCTTCATTCATTATATTCATTTTGTTCATCTGATAACAGAGACATGTTGAGACCATTATCTAGGGTAGGATGATCGACAAATTAACAGATTGACTGATATTGAGACATCTAAGGTCGAACATATGCAAATGTCTGAAAGGTCTAACCATCTAGTAGCATTTTGATAAGCTCAACTGTTAAGCATTTCCCACATTCCGACATTCAAACACTATGTCCATTGTTTCACAAATCCAACAGCAAACCAGACTCCTAAGACAAATAGAGAAGGGAACAGAAGGAACTTCTTATATAGTATACTGGTGCAGCCAATTGCATCCCAGGGGAACTAATCGAGGTGTGTAAACTGGTCTGATTACCACACAAAAACAAAATGCATCCAAGGGGTTCCTTATAAGAGTAGCTTTTCAATGCTTCAGCATATAAAACTCAGAACTGCTCCAAAGACATCTTTTTATTAAGAAAAGTGCTCTAAAAGAATAATATCATGTAATTAGATGAACCTTATTGGCAATCTCATTGGCAATCTCATCTCTTGTTTTCTAGATTCCAAAGCCATTTTGGCCATCCAAAGTCAAGAAGGTCCAAGAGCTTCCTTATTAGCTAAACTAGGCTCATACCAAGTTTCCAAGAAAAGCTAAGAACACAATCACACACAAAAGAAAAGAAAGCAAGCTACTTTACCCAAACCCCACAATTTCACATAAGCAAAAAATCACAGCAAAGGCAAAAAAAAAATCTTTCCCAAAATTTCTTCACAGAAACACAAGAAACAACCATTATTACCTTGATCAAGAAGCACAGCCCCACAAAGAATCAATCTTTACTATCTATACTACATATGTACACAAATAACAACAGAGATACAAAAAAGGTGGAGTCTTTATCAACAAAAAGTAAACAAAAATAAGCATACTCCTAGAAAGACAAAAAGGGATTGTGTTAAACAAAGAAAAAATGATTTTTAAAGTTGAAGTAGAGGAACTTACTAAGTAGCAAGAATAGAAAAGGCAAACCCACCAAAGATTTTCAGCAAAATAGAAAAGAATCAAGCTTTATAAGATGGATTCTAAAGAAAAAGTAGAAAATACAATTGGGATACAGAAATGGAGTGGGTAAGATAGTTTTCTTGAATAGGAAAAATTCTGAAACGTATAGAAGTGTACAGACGCTGTTCACCTAGTTTTCCTCAAAATGGGACTCTTGACACGTATGCAACAAAATAGAGTTAAATATGAGTATATTCTATCCTTATCGGAGCATGACTAGTCTTAATTTGTGCCTTGTAGGATCGGATAGAGGAAAAGTCGCTTCCTATAAAATATTTTTTTCATATTGAAAGCTCGAATTTGAGATCTCTTATTATATTATATTAAACAAATGTAATGTTCTTGAAAAGAAATATTTAAGTAAATTTTGGCATATAGATAATCACATCAAAATCAAAATTCGAATAGTTTAAAAAACTGAAGAAAAAAAATGCATAGAATTGTTAATACTGTCAAACATTTTGAGACATAAAATAGAAATAGTGGAGGGAGAAAAAAATTCCTTTTATATATCTTTATTTAATATATTTTTTAAAAAAATCATCCTAACAGTTAATTCAATTCATTTTTTGTGTTTTTTTTTCATACTCCAATTTAAAAAGAATAAAATATACGTGAATCTTATTAAAAAGTTATTTTCGAGAGATAATCAACTCAAAGTCTCTTGAAAATAGAAAAACTATAAACAAAGTTTATGCCTTTTCTATTTGTGGCTATATCACCCTTATCATCATTAGCTAAAGAAGGGGTGATAAATATTCTAAGGATAAGAATACAAGCAATCATGAAATTGAGAGGAAAAATAATAATTTTATTTTCTTGAAAATGATATCAAACATATTTTCTTATTAAAGTAATTATTCCTTTCCTGAAAAAAATAATTATTTGGAAATTGGTGTGCAAGAATTAGTCTTAAAAGGGCACTTGGAAATCAACTGAGTAATATAGAAAATCCACTTGCTCAAAAGTCAACTGGTCCCCAAAAGAAAATATTTTTATAACAGTTATTTTATACAGTAACATTTAATAAGGAAAAAAAATGTCTTGATACTATGAATTTAAATAAATAGTACTCATAGATAGGATTGTTGGTGAAACCAAACATGGGATAATTCTAATATAATAAAGTTGAATCCGTTTACAAAATAAAAAATGAGTTCATCGATCATTAACGAGTGTGGTGGAACGATAAAGTTTTTTTTTACCTTTAATAGGTAATTAGTAGGTCGTTTCAACTATCATTTTATTTTGTTGTGATTACTCCATTTATGTTATTTTCTATTATTTATTGTGTTTCGGCTATCATTTATATTTTGTTGTGGTTACTGTTCCTTGTATCAATATGTTTTAGAATGTTTCCCCTATTATTTGTGATGTGTTCATTCCTTTTATTTTCTCCTTTTAAATCTGTTTTGATACGTGTTATTTGCGTTGAGGGTCTTTCGGAAACAGATTTTCTATCTCGTCGTGGAGTAAGATCTATGTACACTCTACCCTCCACAGACTCCACCTATTACGGTGTGAATTTTGATTAGTCAGCCAATAATTTTTCAGACATCACTTTGGTTAATATAAAAAATGAGTCATTGGCTAACAATCAAATTGAATTTAGCAGAGAACTTGTATCTCCCACCAGATAAAAATTTTGCTTTGAAGAAAATGAAAGATTCTTTAGGCAAGTAGGTGTATAGGTAAGACAATAAAGATATGGAGTGAAAACTATAATACACATCATATGTACCAAAGACATTCAACAACAATATCTAGTGTGAACTTTGAACTTTAGTTTTCCAATTGTACTGAGTTTCCAACAAAACATTATCCAGCTGCTTGAAAATCTCCAAAGTCATCATCTGCAACATCTTGTGGACCTTGCTCTTTAACTGATTCTGATTTATCTGGCTCCTCTTTCGCTGTTGCTGAGTCCTTCGTTTCAGCAGATTGCTCGAGACTCAATTTAGACGGTGATACTGGGGGAGACCTTGCATCAGTAGCAACAGGTGAAAGTGGTGCGGGAGGAGGTGGTGGTGGTTTGAGTAATATTGTTGAATCCTTTCGGTTGGCCTTTTCCTCCAATGAAAGATTATTTAGACCCTGCTCGAAGAACTTGGACCTTATGGTGCCACCAGGTTTCTGTTGCCCGGAAAGAAAAAGAAAAACGCGGTTATTGGATGACAGAGCAACATTACTACAGATCAATATATTAAGACAGGATTCATGGAGACTAACATTCTTTATCTGAAGTTTCAGGGTTTCCCCCTCCTTCAAACTGTAGTCGACTGATGAGGATTTCTGGTATTGTTGCTCCATCTCTTCTGCAGTTTTCTTCTTATTCAGGTATCTGTTTAGAATATTTTGAATCAGATCAAGAAAAGCAAACAATTGAACATAAAACATAAAGGAGCATCTCAAATGAGTTTAACGCCCCTTCCTACCAATCCTAACATTTCGACCTACAGGAAACCAAACCCTCCCCATCCAATTGACACTCCTTTGCTGGAAAATTACACTGTGTAACTAGGTAATAAAGATGTTCGTTCTATGTATAACTATATGTTGAATCCCTTTGGATTCTTCGTGTGTTTTACTTTATATTTTGACTACCTTTACAGTGAAAATTCTGCTACGTCACAGTCCGGGCCAAAAAGAAAAGGCAAGCATACATCTATTAAAAAAAGGACAGAATGCAAAGAGAAAGGCAAAATTGAACATGTAAGGTGAGGCAAGAAAGCAAGATACTTCTGATGGTCGTGAAGAGCAGCTTGGAAGTCATAGGCTTCAGGTCTTTCTCGAAATCCAATGCCAATAAAAGCATGTCTGAGGCGTCCACCTGTACAAGTAACACATATTGAAGTAAACGGTGAGAATCTACAAGTTCAAGAAGAATGTTGGTTTTAAGTTAGCTGGTCTCAAGGAACACTAATAGTAGAGTTGCAAGTATTATGAATAATGGTTTGACAGCATGGTTGAAAACCAAGGGATGCAATTCCAAATAGCATTATACATCAACATATCCTAACATGTAAAGTTCAGTAATGGACTTAATGGTGTTACTGCAGTAATGAAGTGAACATCAAAGCAGTTCCAAGTATAGACAGGATAGAATCTTAATACATTAGAAGGTACAAAAGCAGAGGAAGAGGAAAAATTCCAGCCAAAACTACATTAAGTCTAACAATGAAAAACCACACAAATTTGAGGTTCTATAATGCCTACGAGACAGGTTATAGTATGTAGCAGATGCTATGATTGGAAAACCAGAACAAGAAACTTCTTATTATTAACCTCAACTGCTCCTAGGTTTACACTTGAGATATGTCTAACCTCGAGTGAAATTGGTATAACCTGATATGCATATATAAGGTGACACAAAAGAGAAAAATTGTTTGGGACCCATAAAGATCTTGTATCTTTAGTGTGTTAAGCTAATAATGGATACTAACTAGAAGCCTACGCTAAAACGATCAGAAACTTTGTTACATCTTTTACAACCCCCCTCAGCAAATCTGTTTCACATGCATGTGTGCAGGCATGAATTATTTCTATATCGACCAAAGGTAGAATTATATGATGGATTTCCTGTTCTACTAGAACAAATTAGATTACAGCTAAACATTAAACAGAAGTAAATGGTGGCTAAGTAGATACCAATGTTTTCTTCAATCCGAAGAACAAAGTATCTGCAAGAGAAGAATATAAGCAGTTAGTACTAGAGCAGCTAATATTAATTTGAATTTGTAAATCAACACACTGTAATAAACTGTTAAAATCTGGTAGAGAAGTCTATGATGCCGTTAGAGTACTTATAAAGCAGAAAAACAGCGTCAAAAGGAGGTGAATCATTTTGATTACAAACTATATAAACCTGCTACTATCGATTACAGCCTCCACTGGATGTGGTTCCCCATCTCTGAGAAATGCACGTGCATACAATTCACCTACATTGAATGAACAGGTAATAAAGGAGATCACAAGTCAACATATGCAAATCTTAATCATCTCATCTTCAGCAATAACAATTAGTTGGAGAATATTTGTTTTTTGCCCTCTCTTTTTTTCTCTTTGGTAATAAAATGCTTACTTTTAAAAAAAAAATTGGTAGGAGAATAAACTGAAATGTTATGGGGCTATAAAGATTATCAAATCGTTAGCACCTCATAAAAGAATGCTTCCTAGAGTAGCTTTTAATAAGAATAAGAGAAACTCTATTATAGCCATTTTTTTCATTCAATGTACTCAACGGGATAGAGGAATCCATAGCATTGAACATGGAATAATAAAAGATCGAAAATTCTCGTTGATTGTTTGTTTGGAAAGTTAAGCTAATCCTCAAGTTAACTAACCTGTTTCCTTGTCTTCCAATTTGATGATGCACTCTTCGCCCTTGCTTAAAACCTTTAATGTACCCTCCCATGCCCATTTATTAACATTCCATTCATCAGCCCTGCCACGAAGTGAAGAACTAAAAGTTAGTGAAAATAATTGGCCTCAACTATCAAATAGCTAAGGTTCCAGCATCAAGCACCACCATTGTGTCTCTTAATCAAGATTTATATGTTGTGCACATGCGGCTAAACATGAAGAAGCAAATCACTATTGTGCCAACAAAACCAAAGTAGGAATTTGATCAGGAGCTCTTGAAGAATGTAATAACATCAGACTCACAGTATATAGCTCCTTTTTGGTTCTTTCAGATCAATAAAATCATATTCCTACCAAACAGAATACCAGGAAATTTTGCGGGAAATTACCAAAGGTTAACAAACAAAAAATATCATAATTTCCTTAATATTGTTGACATTATGAAGTATGTGACTACCTAATGGTTATCATTTCTTGTGCCTGGAAGACTTTAAAACAACAGGGAAAACATTGCTTACACAGGCTTAACCCTGTCCAATGTTTATTCCATTTGTTTAACCATCAGACAAGCAAGTTTCATATGTAGATTGAGATATCTTTTCATCAATCAAATATAGACTGAATACTTGAGATGTCATGCAAACTGGAACGTTAGAATGAACATGAAAGAGCTACATCACAAGTTACTACATAGAACTAAGGAAAAGCTAACCAAAATTCACTATATGCCATTTATCGTGATATAACTGACACATCTTTATATATAGTAAATTCTGATTGTGCTTACCCTGGTCTCATTGACTTTTCTTTATATTATTCAGTTATTTGTCTATTTATTTATTTTTGATAAGTTCATTTACTACACCTTTTATTTGTCTTTGAATGGCTTTTGCCTAAACTAATCATAAGAATCTCCAAAATTTTGGAGGAACAAATCACAGCAAATGTAAACACAAATAATTAGATGGAACTAGCATAAAAGTGGACAAACATTAAAAAGAGAAATTGAACTAACAAAGTTTTCTCATTGATGAATCAAAAGTTAAGTGCAAGAGACAAATTTTTAGATGAAATGAATTGGCTGAACCTGTATGAAGCTGCACTTTTCCTTGGAGGGATCTGCATATCAGCAAACACACAAATGTTAGTTTGAGTGGTACTTCGGCTTTTTATGAAGTAAGTAATATCATTGATGGCACCAAGAAAATGCAAATACTACAAGTTTAAGTGGTGCTTCGTTTCTATCCTATCAATGTCACGACTGCAGCTAATGTGAACATTTCCCACCAACCAACAGAAAACTAATGGATGAAGGAACGGATCCTCCAGGGGCCATGACTTTCCATAGATGCATCAAGCTCAAGATTTGGCATAAAATGTAATAGGTCAAAAGGGACTAAATGCAAACAGACTCCATTCTCGTAGGTACAATGGAAGATGAAAACCATAAAATCAATAGAAAAGGATAAAATGATAGACAAGGATTATCAGCCAGATAAAGGGATTATTGTGCATATGCAAATACAGAAATTCAGTTATTACGTGCAAATTTTGAGACTCAGATCCACCAACTCCAACATTAAGACCCATAAGACACACTTTAAAAGAAAATAACAAGCAAAAAGGTTAGAGGCACAGTGACCCCTAAGGGTAAGAGTCATATAAACTACAATTCCAGAGAAAGATCAAAGTGTTCGGGGTTCACTGGTCATAACACACTCCAAAAGTGAAGTTAGATGTTCTTTTAGAAAACTTACCTGTTTAGTCAATCCAGGTTGTGAACGAGGCTCACTAACTTGTCAACTTTCAGTTTTCTCTAGCTTCCTTTTCTCCAATTTTTATAATTAAACCAAGAATGTCATCAAAATTCACCTAAGCATAATGATGCTACTTATGGATATGGGCTCATAGGTTGGAATGAGAAGATGATATTTTCCAGGGAAAGGAAATCAATCTAATCATTTACTGCCTGGAGGTGTTCTACAAGCAAAAGACCAATATCTCATTTTCCTTTTTATCTTCAAAGTGTTCAAATCAACTTATTTGGACACAAGAAAAGGTATGAATCACAACTCTTAAACCTAAACAGAAGTCACATTACAACACTACAGCAGTGTACAGTTATCGTAATCGAAGAATGATCTTAGCACAGGGCAAGAAACCATAAAATCACGGCTTGATGAAGTTGCAAAAGCTAATAATATCACCGGAAACCATTTGTTGCCACACAAGAAAAGGATATGAAATCAACACTGAAGATAAACAAGACGGGATGTGAAACTGAAACGCCACTAAGGCACAAGCAATGCCACCACTAAAATTCCACTCTCATAGCCTCATAAGCATCAATATCACCTGTCTAAATACAGGACTATCCCCTTAGCACAACAAATTTCAATCTTTTTCCATTAATCTAATAAACTGTCCAAAATATCATACATCCAATAATAAACACAAAATCACCCAACTTTTCAATCAAAAGAGAAGCCACATTACAACCCCAGTTTATCCTAATCCAAGAATTATTACCTTACCACTAAGCAGAAGTAACAATACAATTGGCACTATATTTCAATCTAATACTATATTTCACAAGAACCATATCAAATAACGAAAGATTCAATCAATCAACTGCACCTCAAAACAAGACTAGCTGAGTGAGCTATATGAATTACCCATGATTGAACTCAAATGGGTATCACTAAATTGGGATCAAAACTAAACAAGAACCAAAATTTCCAAAACCCCATGACGACATTTGCAAGAAAGAGTAGAAAAATTACAAGAAAAAGGGTGATAGAAGTGAAAATTACCAAGTAAACATAACATTCAGGGACTTGAAATAGAGGAACTTCAATGGGTTCTTCGATTTCTGAGGTGCCTTCTGTTAATTTATTTTCTTTCTCCATTGATCTAAATCTATGTTTACTCAGCTGATGCTCCACCAAATCTTAATTCAATTGAAAGTTCAAGATCAGAGTAAAGGAGAAAACTCACCAGACTCGGTATCAAAAATTTTGATGAAATTTAAGGGCCTGTTTGGGAATTTTGATTAATTACCAAGACAAATGCCCCATTTTGCTTTTGGTTTTGTTTTTCTTTTATTCATTTTGTTACATCTTGTTTTGGATGGTTATTACTCATTGGATTGTATTGTATAATATTATATTGTTAATTTAAATATAAATACATAAGTATGCACTATTATGATAACAAGAAATTGGAGAAAAATATACCTTCTTTTTTCATATGACTATCAAAATGTAAACAAAAATTAATAAGCTGATTAAACTAATAATTCCTGCAACTTAAAAGTGATTTTTTGGCCCCTTTATGGACAATAAAAGTAGAATTGTTAATGGAGATTGAAAGTTTTAGGTTTTAATTTACATATATATTTTGATAGTGAATATATTTTTTATACTATCAACAAAATTTAATTTGTTATATTAGGATTTTTTATATTTCAGGTAACTGATATTACTTAGAGAAAAAGCTTAAATATATCATCCAAGTTAACAAAATAACTTATCTATGTCATTTGTTAATAGTTGGACACAAAGAATATTCAGTATCGATTCTTTTAGTATTGTTTAGGAAGTCATATTTTATATATACGTATATACAATAGATATTGAATATTCCTCTTGGTTTCTTCTTATGTTTAGCTCTTTATATTTTGAACCTCCTTAGTAAAACTCCTTGATCTATCACTGATTGGACATAAACATAATACCACGGACCTTACCATCTCAGGTCATATATGTCGCCATTACCCAATAACAAAATTATTTTACTATTAAATTGTGTCACGTGCCATTATTTAAATCCTTCATTACTAATCAGCTCTTACCCCTCTTACCTTTTTTCGTATGTCACACATAAAAGGGTGAGAAGGGTAATCTTAATACTAAGATATATATTTTCCTTTTATTCCTTGCTTCTCATTTTCAAATACTATTGTAACTAGTTTTTAATATTTAAAGTGCTAATCGATCTATTCATTATTGTTTGCCGTAGGGATAAATAAATGGGAAGAGAATATTATTTCACCTACTAAACCATTAGTTGTATCTTCCTCATGGACTTCATCAAGTTAGATTTTTAAAACTTTAGGTTATACGATTAAAGAAAGACTTATTAGAAAAAAAAAGTTTATCAGGGCCAATGGCAGGAAAATAAAAAATGAAAATTCATATGATCGATTTTAATTAGTTTAAGACTGAAACTTTGATAATTTAATTAAAGGAAAAGGTCCAAAATGTCCCTATCATATTTGATTTGTTTACGAATATCTTTCGTTAATATATTAGCTCATAAAAGCTCTCTCATTCTTTTTTGTCCTAAATTTGCCTCCGCCTCTTATATGGTCTCTCTTTTTTTTTCTTGGTAAAAGAGATATGTTATACATATTTAGAGTTAAGGGTCAAAAAAAAAATCAAATATTTTCTTTTTTCGAATTAATTTATATATCAAAGTATTAGGTGTGTGAGTTTTCTATTTAAATTATTATCAATTGTTTATTGAAATACACATCACTTATCAGTTATTCACTTTTCCAACATAGGTAGGAAAAGAAAACAACTAATATCTAATTGAGGTGTGTTATGATAAATAGTTGATTATAGTAGAGTAGAAAAAGTAATTACTTGATAGTTGTTCGGATAAAAATTACGAAAATCGGAATACTTCACTCTATGTGTGAGTCTCCCATGGTTATGTGATTAACAATATTTGAGATAGTCCAGAATGCGTTGAAGCCCACATCGATCGGTTCAAATGTCCTTGATCCTTTTTTATGAGCTAATTTTGGAAGCTAAATTAGGTTAGAGTTTATTTTTTTTATCACAAAACTGTTAGCAAATTTTCAGTGAAACTAAAAGACCGCTCAACCTCAAAATATATAAAACAAAAATTTCAAATTTTAAGTTTTTGATTTTAGAATTCGATTGAGGTTGTTCAATAAATGTTTTTATCTCTCACTAATTGATATACAATCGATGTAAATAGAATAAAAATAAACTAAGTTATTGATACTTTTGATATTTTTTTGTTTTGAATTTTCTTATTAGAACTCATGACTCCGTCATCGTAAAAAGTTATTTCACTCTAACAATAAAATTAACCAAATAATCTTAGATATTTCCCTCTCTCTCCATATTTAATCAAACGGGCGTTGGCAGCTGAAATGATACATTAAAAAAAAAAAAAAACAATTTCCAATTAGATATTAAAATCAATATCTCAAAGCATAGTATTTTATAACCTAACAATTTTATATACATAAGAATATGAATAATTGAGAAGAGCTACTCCCAAAATGCAGTAGTGAATTGACAGTTGTGTGTTGTATCATCTTAGTTGAAAATAAAAATTAGTACTTTACTTATTATTAATGTAGAAAACAAAACACAAAAAAAAACTAGTTTTATTCTTATCTAGTATTTGTGCAAACTCTCAACTACTCAACTTTTAATGTGATATCTATCACTTTCTAAAGGTTGAAAAGAGTTAAATATCTCCTTGTATTATGATTCTTTTTTGTTACTAGCGGTGGGGTTGACAACATAGCGGGTGAGGCTAGAGTTTTAGTTAGAAATTTCGTAAAATTCAATAATTTTAATTAATATTTTGTATTTGTGTCAAAAAATTTATTTAATATGTATAAATAATTTAATCAGTATCTAGAAAGCTAATTTTATATCAAAAAAATTATAGTGTATAAACTCAAAATACTGAATGTGTGGTTAATTTGGCCAGGAGGGTTGGTGGTTAAGTTGTAACATGCATCCTATGTCAAAAGAGTTTGAAAACGCTAATTTTATATAGCGATGTGTGATTAAACTAATTAAAAACAAGTTTAACAGTCAAATTAAGCAGCCAAAGGCATGCAAGTTGAAATCTCAATGGTAATGCAGTTTGGTTACTCTAGAAGTCAGAAAGTTTGGGTGGGGGAGGTCAGAGGTGGGGGTGGGGTGAGAGGTATTCTAAATTTAGAGGCGAAATTAGGATTTTAATTTTATAGATTCTGAATTTTATAATGACGATTTTAAGTGATAATAATTGAGTTCTAAATTTAATATATTTAATAAATTTATTAACACAAATACACTATTTGAACAAAATCTACTGAGTTCAGCCGAACCTGCATGTAGACGCTCGACTCCTAATTCCAATAGAGCAACTTTCACATATAGCAAACATAATACTCTATGCATGGTTAAGGAAACAAAGAGTGTAATCGTATAAACCATGTATCTTAAGAACCATATATATATATTAGCAACATTGAACTTTCTTAGCAATGAAAAAAATCCAATCGAAAGCGCCACCTCCAGAAATAGGTCCTACAATATGCGAATCTGAATTAATCGAGGACACTCCAATATACTATGGTTAGGGAAAAAAGAGTGTAATTGTACCATAAACCATATGTATGTTAAAGCATATAGTAGTAACAATGTACTGTCATGAAAACGTCATCTCCAAAAATGAATCCTGCAATGCGTGAATTCGGAATAAATTTCATGCCCTTATATCATTTACCTAACTGTTCATGTTGCACAAATCAAACAATTTACAATCACATGCAAAGCCCATCACAACACAAGTACACAACTCAACCAAACAGTTACAAATGTAGTAGTACACAATAAAACACCAAATCTAAAAGAGAACAAGTCACACTAAATATGTATGTAAAATCTTGGTACATGATACATGTTTTGCTCAGTAAAATATTTTGTAACTGCAAGTAGAAATTTGCTCATGTGCTGACTTTATCAATTGTAAAATATGACCCCATACCAAAATAAATGAGTGGGATATTAATGGTATTCTTACCTTATCCTATGTCATTGGTAACACCAACTCTTCTATTTTAAGGGATATTCATTTATGTAACACTATTCATTTTGTCAGTCCTGAAAATTTGGCAAATATTAATAGTGATCCAGACAAAATTACCAAACTCACTTAAAAAAAAATTACAAGATGAGAATCGAACTTTCACCAATAATGTAAAAATTTAAATAGTCAACTAACTGAGTTATTGAGTGGACATTTGACTATGAAAACCAAATATTATTCGCTTTTTTTTTGGAATTCTTAAGTTGGAATTAGAGTAGAAGTGTGTTTGGTCGTACTTTTTGTAAAGAATATTTAAAATTTGAATGCTTTTTTTCCCGAATATAGTTTATATCTTCCAAATTCTAAAGACGAGCAAAATCACCTAACTTGACTAATTTACCTAAAACATACAATTAAATACTCCCCCATTCCTATTTAGTTGTCGTTTTAAGTTTCATGTCCCTTAAGAAACTAGGTAAGTTTACTATTGTACCCTTATTTAGTGTACTCTTGAAGTCGAGTTTTCAATAAATGAACATGAATTAATTTATTTTGATTAATTAATTTGACCAATGAACATGAATTAATTATTTAGTTTCCCTATGTTGATCAAATGCATATTTTCAAGGCTAATAACTCTTAATGGTAAAATAGGAGGAAAAAAAAGGGTCATTTATGCAGGGTTTTTGTGAAATGACAAGTATTAAAGAACATTTATTTTTAGTAAGAATGACATATAAATAGAAACGAAGGAATTATGTTTTTCATAGATTAGATCGCATGTACGAGTGACTACATACTATTACAAATATTTTCAATTTATATGGAATTTTTTATGATGGTGATTTGATCAGTTGCAAATATATTTTGAAACTGTCAAAATGAGCCAACTTCATGACTTGCATTGCCATGCCCTACACAATTCATGTGTATATTATAGCCACTTTATGTCATACTAAGTACATGCATGCAAATAGTTTCACATTAGCTTACTGTCTAACAAGTACTATAAAATAGAGCCCATTTTCTTGAGTTAGCTCATCTACTTTCTTATTCACTTTCAACTTTCAAAACTATTTTTCTATCCCAATGGAAATTTTACCTGTGAAGACATCAAATTCTGATAGATACAAAATTGAAGCTAGAAATCTTTCCTACAAATTACCTCCTAAATATAATGAGTTTAAATGGATAGGCAAAAAGTTGGCTAACAACAACAAAACTAGTACTTATATACT